GAGAGAGAGAGAGAGAGAGAGAGAGAGAGAGAGAGAGAGAGAGAGAGAGAGAGAGAATAATTATTACATATAAGAAATTATATATAAGAAATTTTGTTTAACCAAACATGTTGCATTGATTCCATAATCAATTTTCCGTGCGTGTCCTTAAATGATTATTGTCTCATTGTTACTCGTTGCCAGACATTTTAATTCTTCTACCCATAAATTGTTTTTGGCAGACCACCAGTGTCTTTAGCTATGGCGAGATACACCACGCCATTACCTCTGCCGACAGTCGCACCTACGACAAATTCCACGAACAACACGACGCCACCTCGGCAGGATAACGAAGACGGTACGCGTCCTTATTTAACACAGTCATATTTTGCACAAATCATGGGTCTTTTTGCGAATAATAATGGAAGTTTTTATGAAAGAAAGATCGTATTGCATATATGGGGCAGCATGCATGTTTGTGTGAAAAGAATTTCTCGCGTTTAAGCAGGAAACGCATCCGAAGACAGCATAGACGTCACGAACGAGGAGCCGTTGACACCTCAACGAAGCGGATGCGCGCAGCTCCCACCGGTGCTCCCGTCGTTATATTCACCCGCGAGTGCCGAAACGGTCTACGAAACAAGCGCGAGGTTGCTTTTCATGGCGGTCAAATGGGCGAAGAACCTTCCTTCCTTCGCTAGTCTACCATTCAGAGACCAGGTAACTTGCCACCACATCTGTGATCTCAACTTATTTTACAGTCAGTTTGGTGTATTTGCGTATTTAGGAATTTAGCATACGATTTCATACGGAAAGAAAAACTTGATTGAATTAATCAGAATTCAGGATATCAATCAGAATTTGGTGAGATATGAACAAATCATATTTTTAGTTAAAATAATCAGGCAAATTGGTTACAAGCGTAACCAAACGAGTTTGATTACTTTATAACCAAACTAAATAAAATTATATTCACATTTCTTACTAGAAATTTTATTACTTTTTTAACTGAAAGTTATTTTAAAGTTAGTATATGATTATTTTGCTTGAAATTTAATTTTTTATTAATTGGTGTTATATTTGAAGAACCCTTTATCCTAATGGGATTCGAAATCAGGACCTTCGGATTGTGAGTCACCTATATACGCGTTATGCCACTATTCACTACAGTTGATAGATCTATTATATATTGTCTACTTGTGTTTTGTAATAAACGTTAAGTACTAGAATATGTGATTATAATAACCAGACATTCTGTTTAATTCAACCAACAGTCGTTGACCAAACATGTCATGTTCATTCACACGATCATGCTTTCTAGTCATAATAAGCAGACACTTGAATGCTATAACTGGATCAATAGTAATAAACTCTAACCGTTATCAGGCCTTTTAGGCCTTTTAGCCTTAGAACATTTTTAATGTTCTGGTTAACTACTAGAATATTTAATTATTATAACCAGAAATTTTATTTAGTTCAACTAAATTATTTAACCAAACACGTTAATTGAACTGAGGTTGCTTTTTCCGTAGCGTATACTTGCTTAAAACTTTGTCCAACTTTGATGAATGGAGATTGAGGCAATATCAGTCACTAAAAATTAATCAAATGATGTTCTCGCACACATTGACATAAAATTGATAAAATATAATTTGATAAACTATCTTTATAATTTAATATTAGAGTTAATTTTCTTTGAGTTAACTTTTATAGAATTTAGAATGTATTATAAGTAAAATTTGTGTAACTTTAAGTTAAATTAATTTTAAGTTTTAAATCAATTGTTTCACAAAGAGAGGACGAACGTTTCATCGTCATTCCATCGTTTTTATTATCTAACGGGATTACTGAATGCGACAAAGATGTTCAAATCTCCCTCTGGTTAAAATGGCGCGACAATAAAATAACAAAATGCCGCAGCGTTAATTGGACGAGCACTAAGTACACGATCGATCGGGTTTATCGCGCAGGTAATATTATTGGAAGAAGCCTGGTCGGAGCTGTTTCTCCTGAATGCAGTTCAATGGTGCCTGCCGCTCGAGTCGTCGCCTCTCTTCAGCGCCGCCGAGCTAACGGCTCTGACCCTCTCGCCTCATTCGCATCCGCACTCGGGGATGCATCTGCAAACTACCACGGGAAAGCCGAGCCAGGTGGCGGCGGATGTCAGGCACTTGCACGACACCCTACAGAGATACAAGGCGATCATGGTAGATCCCGCGGAATTCGCCTGCATGAAGGCCATTGTCCTCTTCCGCCCAGGTAGGCGACCTTGTCTTTGATTTCTCTCGTTTCGTAGCGAACTTTTAACTCTATTCTTTCATCTCTATATTTATCGAAGCCGTTTCTAATTTTTATTCAAATTCTATTGGAAATATATCTAGAAATTTAATTGTTAAAGGTTATAAACCGCTACTATTTATGTTAAAAATGTCCCCTGTTTCCACTCCTGGTAGGAATATATGCAATCTGCAATCCAGTTGTTATATAGTATTAATGCATCCTAATTAGTTGTAAAAATATACCGGACAGAGAGAATATTATAGTTTCTTCTCATATAAATTGTTTTCAATTTTATTATGCTTTCAGTAGCCCAAAAATAGATTGTCAGTAAAGTTTATCTGCTCATCTTTCTAAGGAACATAATAAATTTAATTAGAGATATAATAGATTCCGTTAGAAACATAGCAAATATTTTAATAGTATATGTCAGTTTCTAAAATATATAAGAAGCACATATGAAATGAGAGAATAGTGAAATACTGCAGAATATCGGCCTATTTCTCGGCAAGTTACAAAGTCCTACAATTATAATTTAACTAATTTTTACTATAAAATTCTCTGTACATATGTATATTGAACTGAACAAGAACTTGATAGAGTTTTGTTCAATGATAAAAGCAGTTCACTATGCAACATGTGAACTGATTCTTTCCAAGATATAGTATCAATAATATTAATATAATGTCTATCGTGAATAAATTTTTTAAAATTTATTTACTGTCATAGTGTAGCTCAGATTCAGAATCTAATGAAATAGATAAAAGGACATTTGTCACTTGATAATTGTGAAAGTATCACGTAAAAAACAAAAAACATATTACGTAAAGCGTAATTTTACAATGATTTCCTGCGCTATGATTCTCATTGATATTAAAACTTAAAGAAAGCATGCACAAAGAATGTGAAATACTGCTAGAGCAAACTTGCCCATTTTATGAGCAGCAGACTTGATTATTAATCAATTAAATAATTTTTTAATCAATTTATTCACCAACTAAATTATTTTTTATCTATTTTCCGTTTTGTTTTTCTTCAGTAAAAATAAGTTCAAATTTCGCGCAGGAAAATGTCACATCTTGATTGATATTCCAAAGCAGTTCTACTTTTCGCTCAACAAAAGTTAACAAAACTGCTCGATAGCTGCTCGAAAACTGCATTAAATTACTACACCAGGAGTTTTATCCTGTTTATCGACCAAATCTAAGGTCCTGAAGGATCGGTGTTCCCGTTGCAGAAACTCGCGGCTTGAAGGACTCCAGCCAAATCGAGAATCTGCAGGATCAGGCGCAAGTGATGCTGGGACAACACGCGCGCGCTCAACAGCCAGCCAGCCCGGCCCGCTTCGGCAGACTGCTGCTGCTGTTGCCGTTGCTGCGTGCCGTTCCAGCGGCGAGAGTGGAACTGATCTACTTCCACAGGACTATTGGCAACACGCCGATGGAGAAGGTTCTTTGCGACATGTACAAAAACTAAAACCACCTCGGGCGGCCAAGGGCTTCGCTACGAAGTGGCGCGACGAATAACGATAACGCGGTCGAGCAATGCTGGATCTGAAGGGTCCTGGCATCCAGACGAAAGTAGGATTCGTGGGAGATAGGATCGGTCATCGAAAGTGGTTGAAGCAAAAGCCGGTGGGAGAGAAGAAGAAAAGACAAGGGAGAAGAGGAGAGAGAAAAGGGAAGATAGAGAAAGAGAGAGAGAGAGAAAAAGGTTCTCCTGAATAGAAGGATCAAGGATATTAAAGGGCTCGAGCTTCGTTCCGACACGACCAGGCCTAAGGACGAAGAAGTCCTATGTCCCTTCGACAAATTCGCGAGGACTCCGATCGGCGAGTATTCCTACTACCGTACAAACGCGAGGCACAGGCGGAATGGCGTCGCTAACGAATTCAACGGCAACTAAAGTCGACCGAGGGGCACTCAATCGCGGCGTAAATATACACACACATAGATATACATGTATTTATTTATTATAGACATATTTATCGGGCGTTAGGCCCGGCACACGTTGATAGGACGTTTCCCGCTTTCTCGCCGACGATCAGCGGATCGACGCGATGGGCGGAGGGACGTTTCGTTTTTTCCTCCTTTCTTTGTCTTTTGTACCTTGTTTTACGTTCGTCGTAAAGTTACCGAATTAGAGAGGAAAGTGACGGAGGAGGGACATCCCGTCGGGGATGAGGGGGCGGATTGTCCTTACGAGTGAATTCGTAAATTCGGTGAGCTCAATTCGGACAGTAGTCGCGATTAAAATGTGTTTCTTTCTTTCGTCACCAACGGGCAACGCAACTCGGACAGATAGATATGTGTGTACACACGGGCAGATTCGTGCATGCAGAAACGCAATTGACAAACACCGCGGCGATACTTGTCGCATCGAGATCAGGATTAAGTCGCGCGTGAAAATAACCGAGGCGATAACGCGAGCACGTGAGACTCCATCCGGCGTGTAATATCGACCGACAAAAGTAATTCTGTTCACGAAGGTGCGGGGGTTGATTTTCCGGCGCTGTAAATGAACGCTCATCCGCACTTTTTCTGTATATTTCGTGTTGTGATACTATTCGCTGTAAAAGTCTACGTACTCTCAGTCGGTGATATGTATTGTAACGAATACTTGTAATAAAAGTAACTCTGATTAACTCGGTTATCTCCGTTGACTCATTGCCCCGTGCAGTTCTAATTTCATTGCGTTCATTCATCGTTCTAGGTTTCGCATGAAATTTTAGGTTGTGTTCCCCATTATTGCCAACACCGCGCTTTCAGATAAGTATCAATGGCATACGATAAAAGAAGCTGCTTTATGCAACTGTTGCAAAACTCATCACTCAATCTTAACATACGCTTCTAATCTGAATCATGTCTACTATTACTATTGCTACAAGAAGAGGGCCTTAAGCTTGATCTACAATGTGCTATTTGCTTCCTGTTTCTTTTTCTTTATCTCTTTCTGACTCACACCTTAAGCCTTAAACAAAAGACAGAGAACAAGAAACAAGAAGCAAAAAGCACATTGTAGATTAGGCCTGATCTACAATATGCTCTTTGCTTCCTGCTCCTTTCTCTTTATCTCTTTCTGACTCAAACCTTAAGCTTTAAGCCAGAAGAAGATAGAAGACAAGAAACAGAACGCAAAACAGGCTTTCCCTAACGTCACTACGATCTGAATTGGTCTCTACTATGACTTAGACCTTTCTCAAAAGTTGAGTAGATTAATACTGCAATTCTAGACAAAATCGTAAAACTCGTAACTTGTTCTCATAAAACTTGTAGGAACTTATGAGTAGATCTGCAATTCTATGCGGACCGTATGTCATATGATAACTCATAAATATCTACGATTCTTTTTTTCGTAAACTACGACTTTACGATTTTACGATTTACTCGTATATTTGCTTAGAATTACAGCATAAAGCTTTTGTTAAACCTTATAATCTGCTTGAGATCGTATCTCTTATTTCTGATAGTGGTCGCTTCACCTAAAAAGGTGAGCCTATGGCGACAAACAGTAGAATAGGTGCACAAAATGTGCTCAGCTGTTTCTGCTGTTTCATTGCAAAGGCAGCGTCCGCTGCCTTGCCAGTTTTGTAGAGGTGATATTTTAATTGGCAATATCCTATGTATGGGCCCGTTAATAGGGCTATCCCTTTTATTGAGGGACAGAACTTTTTTAAACTTTTCTGCGAAAGAGTGATAAACTTCTTCGCTTAGTATTGACTTGGTGCACAGTTCCAATATGAGGCTTTTATATTAGCTCTATCTATGTGCATGTGCCAGTCAGATCCACGAACTTCGCAACAGCTGCAAAGCAGCTTTCTCTGCCGATAACTAAATTCAGAATAATAAAAATTGATTTGACAGTCGAAAGCTGTCGTATGGAAACGAGCCTACGGAGAAACGCCCGAATTGGAATACAAAGGAAAGCGAAAAATTTCGCGAGAACGGGCAGAAGTTCGTTGAGAAACATGGAACATGAAAATAGCTTAATAATTAATCGTCAGAGGAAGTCACGAAGACCCAAATGGGACATCTCGCATGAGCTCAGAGTCCAAAGATCGCCGATGTATTTGACGAAGAGGGGCGAGAATCCACCCTGTGAGGTCCCCTCGAAACGCAATTTGACTTCGCCCGCGACCGAAATACACACACACACACACATACCTATCTCCGCAACCCCGTCACGGTGGTTGTTGCATAAACGTACATATTTATTTATCACCGCATAATCCCTGACTTCCCCTCCCGACGAGGGTTTTGCCACATGGCAGTTTGACGGTCCCCGACGGAGTTTACCCCCTCGCCGCCGCTTATAAATTACATCAGGGCTCGAGCGAGGTTTAAGGGCCTGCTTAAGTTGTCAAAGCAATCGGGGAGTTAAACGCCCCGGCGCCGGGGGTGAGCGTCCTTAATGCCTTTTCGAGCGAATCTACGAAACGCGCGGAGTCAGGCGGCGAACCGCGGAGAATAATTGGGGGAAATGTGAGTGTATGTGTGTGTATATGTATGTATGTGTCTGTATGTATGTGTGCGTGTGTGTGTACAGAGAACGTGTCAGAATTTTTGAAAGATAAACAAAGTATCGAAGAAGCTTCTTCTGACTTGTGCACGCGTTGCATCTAATTGATTCTTATTACTATTCTTCTTAGTATTATTGATTTATGAAATATATGTTTGCTTATGAAATTGACCGATTGATCTATGAGATACATATAGCTCTTATTTCGGAACATCTACACGGAAAGAATATCACATAGCCCTTTTCTTTTCATATAAATTATTTTCAATTTTGTTATGTTTCAAGTAATGCAAAAATAAACTGTCAGTAAAGTCTGTCTTGCTAAAGAACACAGCAAATTTCGCCAGAAACATTTTTTAATATCACAATTTAGTTCGCAAGATGTAAGTAACACATATAAAATGAAAAGTTAGTGAATGTCGACCTGTTCCTCAAAATTCTATGGTAATTTTTACTATAAAATTCTTTCCATGTAAACAAGATATAAAAAAATTATTATTATTATAAATCAATTTCAAAAATTATTATTACTATAAATCAATTTCATGCCGAATAATGCAAAATAATTTTTTGTTAATTATCGTATATTCTAGAAGATCTTAGCCGAAAGGACTCTTTTTGTATACTTTACGATTTTCAGAAGGAAGCACCGCGTTTTTGCAATTTTAAAGAAAAATTTCTGCTCGTGCGAACAGTATCGGCAGAAACGAAAAAGCACAGCTGCGTTGCGCGTTCCACAGACCTACCGAGCTTTATCAAAATCAGAGAAGCAGTCGGCTCGGCGCGAAGACACTTCAGTAGATTAATCCTCTCATGGTCGGACTCGCCAACGGCACGGCGTACAAGATACATCGCGCGCGCGCGCGCGCGCAACCGAGGATTAAAAGAACAGTTATCGCATTCGACGCGCTCGTCGTCGAAGTGGGACGAATCAACGCTTCCTGAAAGACACCTGTATCGAACCCTTTCGCGATCAACCCTCCCTCCCGCCGCCGTCGCCGCCACCCTCCTCCCACGTCGTAAGTCCCGCGAGAGTCGCGCAGAGCTGGTAACGAATTTCGATATCCATCCTCCGGCGAGAAAGGGCGAGCGTAGGCATGGCGGCACGCGGGGGTGGATGGCAGCGATAGTATTGACTCGCTTCCGCGGATGTGCGGGGGCGGAGTTTTCGACCTGTCTCCCCTGGTATATCCCTCGTAGCATCCCTCCCCCTCCTCCCTCCACCCTCCTGCCACGACCCCGGAAAGCAGGGGAGCCGGGGTCGAGCCGGGCTCGATCGGCTCGTTGGGAAGGGTGGTGAGACTCTCGTAGAGCGCGGGGCTGTCAACCCACCCCCACCCACACGACGACAAAACTCCCGCTGAAGGGTGACCCAGCAATGGCGGCGGGACTTGTTGTATTTCGCTTTCGAGGTGAGCTCTCTCCATTCCCTTCTACCTTCTCGATTCCATCCCGTAGACCGGAAGGGGACGGGTGACGCCGAGGAGGGGTGGTACGAGTGAGTGTAGCGGATGGAAAGAGGACGAGGGGCAGAAACGAGTAACAGTGGGACGCGGGGGCCACGGAGGAACGAGGGGGCAGCCGATGGAAGAGAGTTAGAGAGAGAGAGAGAGAGAGAGAGAGAGAGAGAGAGAGACGCCGAAAGAGGGTGGAGGACTATATCGCTCGGAAGCAGCAACCTCCATTTATTTTATTACATTATCATACCAACTAGGCGCTCGATAAGTGGGGCTTTAAAGCGACGGTTCTCAAATCGTTCCGCGAGCGACTTTCGCGTGCACGACTTTTGTCAACGACGACGTTCGTTTCGCGCACGCGATCCCAACGTGCCGAAATCTTTGCCTCCTGCCAGTATCTTTAACTCTTTATCGGGGATAATGTATCAAGTGACAGAGTCGAAACGTTCTACTTGTCAGAACCAAAAGCGCATAACTGAATTATTACGAGCACTGAGCACCACGTGCGATTAAAGTAACTATTAGCTTTCCGCACGTATTAATTCATAACCGAAACAGTAACAGTTCAAATACAGCTGTACTGTTACTGTTTGCTTTCAAGATAGTTAGCTCACTCGCTGCTGATTCGTTCAGAGAATGCTCGATACCGACATAATACCGTTTCGTATTTCGCACTGATTTTCTGTTTACTGTTTGGTTGTATAGAATTGTAAATGTGCTTGCACAGAGTGAAAGTACAAATGCCAATGAACGGTGGAATGCTCCAATACTATACAAAAAATAAAAACAAATCTTTTATTTGCATTTTTTATGTTTATTCGTATAACATAAGCTGTTCCGCCATTTATCAACATTTGTATTTCCTCTCTGCATAAGTATGCGCAATTCTATGCCATTGAATAAAAAAACAGTGGAAAATACGAAGTTATATTATGTCAGCATCCAGCAGCTTAAGATGGTTATGTCATGAAACGAATTTCATGAGAATTTAATGAAATTTGTATTATAAACAGAGTGTAAAGCTAAAGATGTTACAGATATTATTATGTCGACAGTCAAAAAATCAACGTGTGCTTAAAGTGACTTTAATGACTTTATCTAAAAAAACTAACTTCATTATATGATCTTATCTTTGATACCAAACGATTGATGAAAAATAAAAATTTCATATATTTCGGTTAAATTAAAAAATAATAGTTTGTAGCACATTTTACTCTCAACCTTGTATACATAGTGAAGTATTATTTAACTGCTTTTGTGAAATCAGAAAGAGATCGATCATTCAAGAGCTGAGACATTTGCAATTAAAAATCATACTTTTTATACGTGTTCCTTGAAGCTAATGTATTATTTTTATTTCCATTTTCAACATCTTCTAAATTATACCTGAGATTTTGATAAAAAAAATTACTGATATTAAAGAAAACATAGTAGGTTAATATTAATATATTTTTTATTAAGAATGTTATTATTAATATTTAATAATGATATTATTAATATTTATTTATTTTTATATATTAAATATTAATATAATATTTATGCATTATGCAAAAATTTCAGAATTATTCAGATTTCCTTGTTTTCAAAATGCAACGGCGGAAAATTCACAATTTATAAAATAGTAATATCTGAAATACATATGGATATTTTTAAATACTGATATAACTCC